CACCTCGACCTCGGCTACTCTTACTCACAGGGTTCACACCACCCACTTACCTGCTATAATTCCCCTTGGGAATTAAAGACCTAGGCCAACTATTCCGGTCTAAGTTATAGACAGTGAATCACAACAATTCACTAAGCAGGCAGTCAATCACAACACCACTCAATCACAAAGAACAGGGATCGTACACTAACCTCAAGTCCTGACACACCTGCATTTCACGGATTATCACATAATACCACTCAGCAATCACAATCACACAGTCTGGGGTACGCATGTCACACAAGTCTCCCTAACTAGCTACCCCAAAGTCATCGCTCCTTATCACTCCAGGTTTCGACCAACTTGGATCGAGCTGACCTTGCTCTGATACCAAATCAACCAGGATGTCACGCCCCGCACCCTACGAGTGCGCGATCACCCCTCGATGGTCGATCATTGAACGCGACGTCCGAGGACACGTCACCGACCCAAACGAACTACGCAAGCGGAAGCGAAATAAAACAACCCGGACAATAAAATATGATGAAGGGATAGCACAAAACAATAATTCCAAATACACAACATCAAAACGGAGTAGTGGTTTGGATATCCTACTTCACTATACAAAAGAGGGGCACACAAAAATATGGGGCAACTTGACCCGTTCTCCACTCCCGAGATACCCTGATGGCGTCTCCAGTCAATCACTGTCGCAGATCTGAAAATGGTTATATAATAACCGTGAGAACGAGTCTCAATAAGCAACCTTCTATACCCCACATAGGCCAATGCGTATCCAGACAAGTCGTACATGCAATCTACCCCATAACATATAAAATAAAATCGCATCCTTATACTTACCTCACCATCGAACCCATGCTAACACTGCACGTTAGTCATAACATGGTAATGCAGTAATAGTAACTAAATAGCACATCGCAATTGCTCAAACGCCAACCACACTTGCACGCAATTCATCTTACTAATTCGACCACACATTCAACCAGCCAATTCAATCACACTCAAATCGCATGCGTGGCCGAACATCTTTCTCACGACCCGCGCCACTGCGCCTCAGGTCCATTCTCACTGCCCGCGCCACTGCGCCTCAGGCCCATCTGGCACACCGGCCATTCATGCTTTCACACGGACCGCCTTCAACACGTCCCAAGTCCGTAGCCCTCCGATCAATCCGGGCTCAATTCTATTGACCGACGTAAACACGTCCCGGTCCAACACACCTTTAACGGGCCACCGTCAACACGTCTCAAGCCCGCATCCATTTGGTACACCGGCCATTCATGCCTTCACACGGACCGCCGTCAACACGTCCCAAGTCCGTAGCCCTCCGATCAATCCGGGCTTGTCTCATGCACATGCACCACAACACAATTCAAAATTCTCACAAGCCGTACTAATCAAACTCAAGGCATTTTCACCACAATATTCCACCAACCCGACCTTCAAGTCGGTCACATTCAGCTGTCAATTCCACTCACAACCGCCACGATAAGCCAATCATTGACTCACCACAATAGCCACAAATATGCACCCACATTCATCCCAATTTCAAATCACAAGCTCACGATTCCGACATTCAAGTCAACACATTCAATTAATCCAATTCACCCACAAGCGTCACGACAATTCAGTCATGCTATTTATCTCAGTCAATCACTAAATTAACCACACAATTACCGCCACAATAATTCACAAATTGAGCACAATCAGTCAAATTAGCCCACGCCTAATTTAATTCCTAACCCGGTACCAAGCACATCCTAAACAAGTCTAAAAATACCCATAGTCCTAAATAAGGAATAGCAGGTCACTTACTTCAATTTGGCTCGGGAAAAACCCGCACGGGCTCAAAACGGGCCGGATGAACAGTAACAGCCAGGGCGCGATGGGCCCGGGGCTCGGCCACGGCTTGGCACACGGCCTAGCGACTCGGCCACGGCCCGGGGTAGTCTTGCCACGGCCTGGGCACGCTCGGGCTGGCTGGGCAGCGGCTAGGCGAGCTCGGCCACGGCTCGGGACGCTCGGGCGACGACGACAACAACGGCGGTTGGACTGGTGCCGGCGAGCACAACGGCTGCAAGTGGCTGGGCAAGGTCGCCGTGGTCGGGTTGTGACGCCCCGACCTCGGGGTCATTAACGTGACGTCCCGTTCATTATTATCTTTCATAATACACAAGCGGAAGCATTTCTCGGGATAATCACGTTAAAAACAACAGCGGGATTAAGAAAAACAGCATCATGAGCAAACCTTATGTTCACAGTGCATGCAAAGATGTTTTAACAAGCCCTTCGGGCCATGGCAAATAACACGTTTTTCATAGCCGACTACAAATGGCAAAACTTGACTTGGGTTATCCGATACCCACTATGGCTTCTCACTACTCGCTTCTTCACCTCCACCCCGGTCCCGTCCGCCTGGCCATCTCACATCCCACCCGTGGCTTTATCCCGGAGCCGGCCCGCCCTGAGGCACCAAGTCCGTTAGGCCCTCATCGAACGTCTCAAGCGTCGTGATTCGACGGTAGGCGCGTTCTTTACTGACATCTATCACGGTGAGCACTTCGGCTCTCTGCTCCACGGGATTGCCAACGCGGGCTGGGGGAGACGCCATCCTACGGACTTGAAAAAGGGGAAAACAACGGGGGATGAGTCGGGGAGACTCAGCAAGTAAACCTACTAATATCAAGCGAGGACGAGGGGATCGCCATTAGCACAAGTCAGCCGTTACCGCACCCGCATCAATGGCAGATCAATAGCAAAGTTCATACAAGAGAACATCAAGCATGGCTATAACATGTGCACCTTGCCATCCAAGTCTCGGTTCTATCTCCAAAACAAACGTCAAACATGAAACATGATTAAATCGAGAAATGAACCAACCACAACCAACCAAATGACCGAGAAACGGTCCAAGCAAACCGTGTCACAACGTATCACAACTTTCTTTCCCGATATTAGGAAGTTTACTTACTCTTAACGAAACCAGAACTAGAGAGTAGAAAATGGATGGGAAAGACGACGGCCTCGGGATCTCGGCAACTCACGGTGTCGACCCCTTTCTTTTCTTTCCCTTGACTTTCTCTCTCTCGGTTTTCTTTCTCTTTCTCTCTCTATTTCGGCTCTTTCTCTCTCTCCCTATCTCGGCACTCTCTCTCTCTCTCTCTCTTGCCGCTTTGTGTGTGTGAGAGTGGGTGTGTCATTTTCTACCTAATGGCTTCTATTTATAGAGGAATTGGCTTGGCTAAGAAGTCAATGATGTAAGCGCACGTGTCACGTGGGGGTGTGAGGTAAGCGTACGCATCATCAAAGTACGTGGTAAGCGCACGTGTCATCCAAAAAGTCATAATGGCCCATTTATTCTTCCTTTCTCTCTCCTCACTCATTGGCCGTGACTTCCTCTCTCTCTCCCCCCTTCCTTGCCGTGGCCTCCTCTTTCCTCTTGGCCAATACTTGATGACCAAGCTTCATAATTGGCTTCATAAATGCTTGTGGAAAAAGAAGACCAAGCATTAATTACAAGCAATAATGAAGGGGATAAGGTTTGACTTTGTCAAACTTTCTAGGGTCTTCTCCAATCAAAGTATAAAATATCTCATTTGAAAGCTCAGAACGTGTACTTTAAATCACCAGAAGACACCAAGTCCAAATTCCAACGTTCTCGTATAGAAAATGCCGAATCTTTGAAATCTGACAAAACCGGACAGTTTTGCACTGTTTACGAAATTGGACTTAAAAACATAGTAAATGAACTCCGAAAATTCTCAAATTCGGATATGTCATAAACAAGATCTTAAAAAACATTTTTTATGAAGAATACTAAATCTGAATCTCTCTGTAAACACTATTTTTAGTAGCTCAAAGACAGACTAAAAACAGATCACTGGAACAGAATTCGTGTTTCTCAAAGTAAGCTCTGTCCAGATTCCAAATCATCTTATAAAATTCCCAAATTTATACACTTTATAGAAAAGGAAGTTCTCAACAACTTTCGTGAAGGAAACTTTTCCAAAATCGGCCCAGAAAAGCTTGTAGAAAATAAATACGGTGTGAACATCACCGAAATACCCATTCTGGGCAGTTTCACACGGTCCGAAAATCAGTCCATCGTACCACTCATATCAACTCCAAAAATTCTGAAATTAAAGTATGTAAAACTTCAAGATGTTTGGAATAACTTTCAAGAAGGAAGTATTCTGAAATTCGGATCACAAAATTCTCCCCAAAAATAACAAAAAGAAGGGATACAAAGGATCCGAAACTGGGTTTTCCAAAACAAGAGAAAACAATTTAGTTCCGATTGGAAAACCATCAAACTTAAACCATAGCCAACTCCCAGGGACTAAAATTGAGGATAATACAATTTACCTGCGGCTTCCCAGGCCCAAATCGGGATGTGACAATTCTCCCCCTCTAACAAAATTTCGTCCTCGAAATTTAAAACGTACCTGGGATTTAACTTACCTTTCCTTTCGAAGTGTGACGCACCCCTCATTAGTGACACCTTTGGAAAGACATAGTCGCCTACCTGAAACTTAAGCGATTTCTGGCCCTTGTCAGCCTAATTCTTTTACCGACTTGTGCCGTCCTAAGTTTTTCTCTACTTATCTGGACAGCATCTAAGGTGAGTGGGACTAGCTCTGGACCCCTGACCTTCTTTTCCCGACCTCGTTCCAATAGACCGGAGTTCTGCAAGCTCGACCGTATAATGCCTCGAATGGTGCCATCTTGATGCTTTGCTGATAACCGTTATTACAGTTGGATTCTACCTTCCTTTCTAAAAGTAGCCTTGTTTAGCTTTTTCGGAAAACGTCGAAAATTTTTCTTTATGGAGCATCTTCTAGCTTTGGCTTCCCACGCTTCCGCTGCGCCACTCTGATTTATCTTTTACCATCCTTAAATATTTCTTATGCTTGCTTGCTTGGTTTTTTTTGATACATTGAAACGTCGTACATAAATACTATGATAAAATAGTACAAGTACAGTTCCGATCACCCGATTTATCAAGTCTCCGTAATAACATTCTTGGAGTTTTCCGCTTCCTCTTGAGTAATTGCATAAATCCTTCCTTGAGCTGGAGGACGATTATCATGCGGTGGAACTTCTTTTTGTTGCATCACCAGTGGTTGTTGTGACTGCTTCACTTGCTGTCGTTGCGGGCAGTCCTTTATGTGGTGGCCTTGTTGACCACAGCCGAAACATGCTCCCGTTTGTTTTGGACACGGAGCATTTCCATGAAACCTTCCGCAAGTATGGCACGCATCGCCTGCAGTGGAAATTGGCTTCTGATTTTTTATCTTCTTGTTGGGAGTAGAGAAATGGTTTTCTCCCGACATCGGTCTCTTGTCATGATGCTGGTTGGATTGAGAAGCCGGATGATAAGGCTTTCCTTGGTTAGTCGCCGTGGCAGCTCGTTCCAGGGACTCTTTCTCCACCAGCTGCGCGCGTTCATACAGCTCGTTGTAATCCTTGAGGTTCAGCGGCACCAACTGTCTCCGGATGTCTGGTTTCAAACCGTCTCGGAATCTTTTTGCCCTTTCCACTGGATCTTCAATAAGTTTAAGGGCGTACCTTGACAGTTGAGCGAACCTTGCTTCGTACTGGTCCACCGTCATGTTGTTCTGTTGAAGTTGCAAGAATTCCTTCATCTTTCGGTCGCGAGCACATTCGGAAAAATACTTTCCGTTGAATGCTTCAATGAAAGCATTCCAGTTGACAGCAGCATTTTCTGGGAACACGATTTCCTTGGTCGCTTTCCACCAATAGCTGGCATTACCTTGCAGTTGATAGGCTGCTAAGGTAACTTTCTCTTCCTCGGAACATCTCAAAAGCTCAAATGCCTTCTGGAGTTCATCGATCCAGGATTCCGCTTCTTCGGGATCTCCAGTTCCGACAAACTTCGGGGGTTGGAGCTTCAGGAATTGCTCGACCAATCTGTGCATCGTACGGCCACCATTTCCATTTCCATTTGCTGCCACATTCTCAGCATTAGGCATTCGTTGTTGGGCCTGCTGTCCCAACAGTTCTCCTACGGTCGCCAGAGCCTGCAGAATTCCGTCTATTCGGGGGTCTTGATTTGACTTCCCCTTCGAGGTCGAGGTCGCAGTCGGGTTCCGAGCACTCATATTGGTATTCTAAGGGGTCTTTCTACAACACAAGAATAGGTCAGTGGTCACAAACAAATATTAGCACACAACCTATTCAACCACAATCAATCATTCACATGCGCAGGGGTGTTTCCTAGCTAACTACCCCAACTTCAGCGCACCTTATCACTCCAGGTCTTTATTTTCGCTTGGATTTTAGAATCGTTCTCCCCCATTCAGTGCATAGTTCGGTTTCTTCCTCTCTTACCCATCATCCTAGAAGCTTGCCAGGAGCCGCTCTTTATTCAGGTCTTCAACCCCGGCGATCACTCTTGCTAGAAGCCGCACCTTGATCAGGCCTCATGCCCCGGCGTCCACTTCCTAGCCAAGAGCCGCTCCTTGATCAGGTTCTACCTCGGCGATCACTCCCCGCCCTCATTGGATCGGGTCCTTTCAGGATTCCACAGCCTCTTCTTGGCTCAACACCGAACTTGCACTTACTGGAGGGGAACCTGCTCTGATACCAAATTAGACTGTGACGCCCCGACCTCGGGGTCATTAACGTGACGTCCCGTTCATTATTATCTTTCATAATACACAAGCGGAAGCATTTCTCGGGATAATCACGTTAAAAACAACAGCGGGATTAAGAAAAACAGCATCATGAGCAAACCTTATGTTCACAGTGCATGCAAACATGTTTTAACAAGCCCTTCGGGCCATGGCAAATAACACGTTTTTCATAGCCGACTACAAATGGCAAAACTTGACTTGGGTTATCCTATACCCACTATGGCTTCTCACTACTCGCTTCTTCACCTCCACCCCGGTCCCGTCCGCCTGGCCATCTCACATCCCACCCGTGGCTTTATCCCGGAGCCGGCCCGCCCTGAGGCACCAAGTCCGTTAGGCCCTCATCGAACGTCTCAAGCGTCGTGATTCGACGGTAGGCGCGTTCTTTACTGACATCTATCACGGTGAGCACTTCGGCTCTCTGCTCCACGGGATTGCCAACGCGGGCTGGGGGAGACGCCATCCTACGGACCTGAAAAAGGGGAAAACAACGGGGGATGAGTCGGGGAGACTCAGCAAGTAAACCTACTAATATCAAGCGAGGACGAGGGGATCGCCATTAGCACAAGTCAGCCGTTACCGCACCCGCATCAATGGCAGATCAATAGCAAAGTTCATACAAGAGAACATCAAGCATGGCTATAACATGTGCACCTTGCCATCCAAGTCTCGGTTCTATCTCCAAAACAAACGTCAAACATGAAACATGATTAAATCGAGAAATGAACCAACCACAACCAACCAAATGACCGAGAAACGGTCCAAGCAAACCGTGTCACAACGTATCACAACTTCCTTTCCCGATATTAGGAAGTTTACTTACTCTTAACGAAACCAGAACTAGAGAGTAGAAAATGGATGGGAAAGACGACGGCCTCGGGATCTCGGCAACTCACGGTGTCGACCCCTTTCTTTTCTTTCCCTTGACTTTCTCTCTCTCGGTTTTCTCTCTCTTTCTTTCTCTTTCTCTCTCTATTTCGGCTCTTTCTCTCTCTCCCTATCTCGGCACTCTCTCTCTCTCTCTCTCTCTTGCCGCTTTGTGTGTGTGAGAGTGGGTGTGTCATTTTCTTCCTAATGGCTTCTATTTATAGAGGAATTGGCTTGGCTAAGAAGTCAATGATGTAAGCGCACGTGTCACGTGGGGGTGTGAGGTAAGCGTACGCATCATCAAAGTACGTGGTAAGCGCACGTGTCATCCAAAAAGTCATAATGGCCCATTTATTCTTCCTTTCTCTCTCCTCACTCATTGGCCGTGACTTCCTCTCTCTCTCCCCCCTTCCTTGCCGTGGCCTCCTCTTTCCTCTTGGCCAATACTTGATGACCAAGCTTCATAATTGGCTTCATAAATGCTTGTGGAAAAAGAAGACCAAGCATTAATTACAAGCAATAATGAAGGGGATAAGGTTTGACTTTGTCAAACTTTCTAGGGTCTTCTCCAATCAAAGTATAAAATATCTCATTTGAAAGCTCAGAACGTGTACTTTAAATCACCAGAAGACACCAAGTCCAAATTCCAACGTTCTCGTATAGAAAATGCCGAATCTTTGAAATCTGACAAAACCGGACAGTTTTGCACTGTTTACGAAATTGGACTTAAAAACATAGTAAATGAACTCCGAAAATTCTCAAATTCGGATATGTCATAAACAAGATCTTAAAAAACATTTTTTATGAAGAATACTAAATCTGAATCTCTCTGTAAACACTATTTTTAGTAGCTCAAAGACAGACTAAAAACAGATCACTGGAACAGAATTCGTGTTTCTCAAAGTAAGCTCTGTCCAGAATCCAAATCATCTTATAAAATTCCCAAATTTATACACTTTATAGAAAAGGAAGTTCTCAACAACTTTGGTGAAGGAAACGTTTCCAAAATCGGCCCAGAAAAGCTTGTAGAAAATAAATACGGTGTGAACATCACCGAAATACCCATTCTGGGCAGTTTCACACGGTCCGAAAATCAGTCCATCGTACCACTCATATCAACTCCAAAAATTCTGAAATTAAAGTATGTAAAACTTCAAGATGTTTGGAATAACTTTCAAGAAGGAAGTATTCTGAAATTCGGATCACAAAATTCTCCCCAAAAATAACAAAAAGAAGGGATACAAAGGATCCGAAACTGGGTTTTCCAAAACAAGAGAAAACAATTTAGTTCCGATTGGAAAACCATCAAACTTAAACCATAGCCAACTCCCAGGGACTAAAATTGAGGATAATACAATTTACCTGCGGCTTCCCAGGCCCAAATCGGGATGTGACACGGGTGGTGGCGGACGGAGCAGCAGCAGCGACCGGAACGGCGGCGCGCGGCGGCTGGCCGAGGCGGCGCCGGGAAGAGCCCAAAACAAGGGAGGCGTCGGGGAGGATGAAAAACAGGGGAAGGGGAGGTGAAGGCGGCCGAGGGGGAACGGCAGGTCGGCGGAGGTGGCTGAGGGAAGAGACTGGGAGGCAGAGGCGGAGCGGCGGCGGCCGGAACGGCGGCACGCGGCGGCGGCGAAGCCTGGAGCCGAAACAGGGGAAAGCACCGGGGAAGAGAGAAACAGGGGAAGAGGAGGTCACGCGGTGGCCGAAGGCGGTACGGCGGTGTCTCGGGTGGCCGGGCGACGGAGGACAAGCCGGTGGACGGCTAGATGACGTCGGACCGCGGCGGATGCAGCGGCGAGCTGCTGCTCGTGTGCAACGCGGGCAGGACCGGCGACAGGCGCGCAGGGCCGGTGAGCGGCGGTCGCGGGCGGCGAGCGGCGGCGCGGCTCGGTCGGGCGACGGCGGCGCGAGGCGAACGGTGAACGGTGGCTGTGCTGGTCCTGGTGAGCAGCAAGCAGAAGACCAGAGCAGTCGCGACCGGAAGAGAAGACCCATGGAGAAGAAGAAGAAGAGAGGAAGAAAAGAAAAGAAGAAGAAAGAAAGAAAAGGAAGAGAGAGAGAGAGAGGAGTGGATGGATCTGACAAGGGGGGACAGACGTGTGAAGGGGGGAAAGTGACCGGAGAGAGAGAAAGAGAGAGAGAAAGAGAGAGAAAGAGAGAGAGAGACGCGAAATAAATAAATAAAGATTCAAATAATAATTGCGATCCGATGGCCCATATTTAAAACTGAAAACGATCTAAAGGTCCAAATTAATCCTAGAATATAATAAGGGACAAAAGCCAAATTAATTAAATCAAACTACCACGAGGGAGGTCTACTAGTCCAAATTCGCACCCGGTCAAAAATCCACTTTTCACATATTTCGAGCAATCTCGAGGCCGACCACAATAATATCGACACCGTCCAATTAAATTCGTCCCGAAACTCCGAGAAATTCGACACCAAAGTTTGGGCTCTAAATAACGGCAAAATTCGATCGAATGCGATTCTAGCGAAATCTCAAATTTAAAACAATAACCGGGAGTGATCAGTTCCCGGGCGAGATTTTACTATAAGCACATTGACGAATTACACGTTTTATAAATCCCAAAAATGGGCCGAAATTTAGAATGTCACACTAGCCATGGCAAGGACGAACCTCGCCAGGGGCGGGCGAGGCCGAGCCTCGCTAGCCATGGCGAGGACGAACCTCGCCAGGGGCGGGCGAGGCCGACCTCGCCCAACGCCGGCGAGGTCGAGCCTCGCCGGCCAGAAGTTGAAGGTGAAGGGGAAAAAAAAAAGAAAAGAAAAGAAAAAATCAAAAAATTCGAAAAAATAAAAAATATTATTAAAATAATTATTAACGGTAATATTGGACGGAAAAGTTAACGGTGATAGATTTGGGACAAAACTAAAAGTTTGGGGTTTTTTATGAGACAAAAAAAGTTTAGGATATAATTGGGACAAAGGCTAAAGTTTGGGGTTTTTTTGGGTATTAGGCCAATTAAAACTGAAAAGTTTAGGACTAAATTGATCACCATTAAATAGTTTATGACTTTTTAGACAATTGTCTCTCAAAAACTGTCTAGTATTATAACACAATCTCTTGAAGACCCTTGAATTTATTTATTTTCGTATAAAAAGTGTTCTCCATGAGTCAGCATGTCGTTATGTCCGCCATAAAAAATGCTTAAACTGCAATTTTTACTATGAAATTTATAAATAAATTAAATAACGATCAATTTTAAATAGGGAAAAAGCCACAAAAACTCTCAAATTATATCTACTATGACACATCTAGATCGAACTTTGTTTTGGGACATCAAAAATCTTAAAACTATGTCCACTATAATATATTTACCCTAAACTTTTTATTGTGATGTCAAAAATCCCAAACTTGCACCCATATGATACATTTACACTCCATCAAAATTCCGTCGAATGATTTTCCAGGCAAAATGACAACATTTTTGTTTCACTTATGTCACGTGAGCGCCATGTCAATACCGGTTGCCTTTCATCGTCTATATAGACAATTTTTTAGCGATATTTTTTGACGGAACGTTAATGAAGGCTAAAGGTCATTCACTATCGATTGCAAATATCACAAAAATTGCGTGTAGCAACTGTTTATGGGAGACACACCCCCTAAATAAGCAAAAACTAATGACCCAAAATGCGGCTGAGCCTAATTAATAGGGCGTCGCTAATACTACAAAATCAATATAAGTTTGGTTAGGGTGGCTTGGAATTATAGGACACGTCTCACGTTCAACTAGACCGCACCAACTCCCTTTCCCTATACGTGGTCTCCTGCGTTACAAATAGAAAATCTGCTTTTGATATGGACTTAATGATGGTTGTTGTTTATTAAGGCTGAGAAATCATAATCACAACGCAAGTCGTTGTAAATGAATTGAGCTCTAGGTGGAGCTTCCATTATTAATTCGTTGAATGAAGGGGTCCTATACCTAAGTCACAATCTTAATGGGACAGATCTAGGACAATCGTTCTTGTCAATTTAGTGAAATTACATCTACTAATGATAAAGTCAGATTTTATCAAAACTTTCAAATCTCTCACAAAAGAACTCAAAGTTTGGCTTCCAACCCAAAAAGTCCTCCCTCTTTTAGCTTCCATCTATAGTAGTTGTTAGAGATTCGACACGTCGATCTAAATATACTGTTAGCCTCGCGGATTTAGATGACATGGATTGAGGGGAGGCAAAAGAACGCGGGATCACTCCATAGATTGCTTCATAAATGTGAGAAAATATTTGGTAGTATTAGCTTTCCGTGTCAGCCATAGGCCATCCTACTCATTGATCGCCACGTGTTTAGATACGTCTCACTTGTCAAAGTTTTCAAATTTCCTCTCTTCTCTCTCTGTTGCTCTCTTTCCCCCTCCTTTCCTGTGGAAGCAGGCTTCCTTACTGACACGGTCTCTCTCTCTCTCCCTCTCCCTCTCCGTCTTCCTCTTCTCCTTTCTTCTCTTCCTCGACTGCCCCTTTGAGAAAAGCAAATCATCTCTCTCCGACAATGGCAATTACACTGCGAAATCGCGTATTCACTCTGCACGCAACCTCTCTTCGTCAACCCTCACTTCGGCCATGTCCGAATGCCCCACTCTTCTTGCTCTCTATCAACCTTTCGCCGCCCACCCACCACGGCCGAAGTTTCCATGCCTCCACTTCCAAAACCGCGAGCCCAGCAGCTTCAGACTCGGCCCGGATCATCCAGAAAGTTTTCTGCATCCCACCTGGGGTCGATCAGGTCGAGGTCTACGAAGACATGGTGCTTCCCGGGTCGAACGTCATCGCCGGACCCTACGTGGGTCATGCCCAGATTAAGGAAGTGGAGTTGGTGAAGAGCAGTGGGAGGGCCAAGGACTGTCCCAAAGTTGGGAGGCCCGAGTTTGCCATTCTGGGTCGGTCTAAGGTGTGCAAGCCTTCGCTTATCAATACTCTGGTTCTGAAGAAGGAAGCTGCAGTCACATCCAAGAAACCAGGTCCTTTTTTCCCATATTTATAGTTGTCGCCAAATGATGTTGTTTCGTATGGTTTTAGTTTGGTCGCAAGGGATGGGCTGACTGATTGATGTATTTTGCAGGTAAGACTCAGCTTATAAATCACTTCTTGGTGAACAAGAGTTGGTACATTGTGGATTTCCTTAAATTTCTCATCTATGTGGCAGCTTATAAATGCAAAAAAATCGCAGAATGTGAGCTAATATGTAAGTTTTGTTTCTTAGAATGCTGCAACTAAGCCTGAATGATAACCATTCTATTCAAGAAATACAATTTTCTATTTCTATTCCATGATAGAGTTTCTGAGCAAAAATACGCGTTTAATAACGACACAAAATTTCTATTTTCCAAATAAAAATTCGTTTGATAATGGCACAAAATTTCTCCCTCCCGGATGGCTAGCTGGTGGACGGTGGGAGGTAGTTGGTGGCGGAGGACAGTGGACGACAGCAGGAGGCGGACGGCAGTCGCTGTGCGGAGGATGGTGGCAGGAGGCGGCTGGCACGAAGGATGGTGGCAGGAGGTGGTCGGCACGAAGGACGGTGGCGGGAGGTGGCCGGCATCGAGCGGCGGCCGGAGGCGGGCGACGAGCGGCGATCGGCAGCGGGCGATGGCGACAATCGGCAGCGGGAGGCGGCAGATGGCGGTGCGAGGCAGGTGGCGGGAGACGGCGGCCGATGTTGGGTGGCAGCAAGAGACAGCGGCCAGCGAACGGCAAGGCGGCGGCAGGAGGTGACAAACGGTTAGCGGCTGGTGGTGGGCGGTCAGCTAGTAGTGAGGGCGAGCGATGAGAAAAATTTTTATTTCTCATTTCTGTTCCAGAAATAGAAAAATAGAAAATTTTTACTTTTCAATTTTTTTCCAAACCTATTTTTGAAATCAAAATTTGTTCCAGAAATAGAAAAAAAAATTGCATTACCAAATGGATTTCTGTTTCAAACCTGTTCCCAGGAACAGAAAAATAGAATGGTTATCATTCGCAGCCTAATTGAATGAATTACGTCGATTCGAAGTTATTAAGAGTGGGAAATTGAAAAATCATTGGATTCCAACTTGTTGTTCGAGACAATCTACTCTATGTCTTTAACTTAGTAATTCATTAGCTTTTCCTTAGTGTTTCACCTCGAAGAAGGTCGCAACAGTTTGTTGAGGAGAAACATCGCAAGTGAAAGTAAGAGATGTGGAATTGATTTTGCAGTGTCCCCATGAACCTGGGACGTTCGCCCTGGACGCTTGCAGCAATGAACCTCGAATCAACCCAGAGATCCAAGGTCGACTGAGTCCCCAAATCAACCCTCAGTGAAATTACATGTACTAATAATAAAGTCAGGTTCTATCCGAATTTTCAAGTATCTCAATAACGAACATAAAGTTTGGCTTCCAGCCCTAAAAGTCCCCCTTTTAGCTTCCATTTATAGTACTGTTAATGATTCGATGTGTCGACCGAAATAGAACACACGCCTCTCGGATTTAGGTGATGCGGATTGATGGGAGGTGAAAAGATACTGTATCACTCCATAAATTGCTTTAGAAAAGTGAGAAAATATTGGGTATAATTGGGTTTCCATGTCAACCATTAGCCACTCTACTCACTAATCGCCACTTGTCTAGATGGATCTCACTAGTCAGTTTTCAAAATTTCCTTCTTCTCTCTCTTATACTCTCTCTTTCCCCCTCCGTTGAGAAAGCAGGCTTCCTCACTGACACGCTCTCTCTTTCCCTCTCCCTCTTCGCTTCTTCTTCTCTTTTCTTCGCATCCTCAGCTGCCCCTTTGAGCAAAGCAAATCGTCTGTCTACACTCTGCACTCGACCTCTCTTCTTCAACCCTCACTTCGGCCATCTCCGAATGCTCCACTCTTCTCGCTCTCTCTCAAGACCCCCTCCTCTCTCGTGGCGCACCCACCACGGCCCAAGCTTCCATGCCTCCGCTTCCAAAACCGTGAGCCCATCAGCCTCACACTAGGCCGGGATCATCCGGAAATTTTTCTTCATCCCGCCCGGGGTCGATCAGGCCGAGGTCTCCGAAGACATGGTGCTTCTCGGGTCGAACATCAACGTCGGACCCTACGTGGGTCATGCCCAGATTAAGGAAGTGGAGGTCGTGAAGACAAGAGCAGTGGGAGAACCAAGGACTATCCCAAAGATGGGAGGCCCAAGTTTGCCATTCTGGGTCGGTCTAATGTGGGTAAGTCGTCGCTTATCAATGCTTATCAAGAAACCAGGTCCTTTTTTCCCGTATTTGTAGTTGTCGCCAAATGATGCTGTTTCGTATGGTTTTGCTTTCGTTGCGAGGGATAGGCTGATTGATTGATGTATTTTGCAAGCAAGACTCGGCCTATCAATCACTTATTGGTGAGCAAGAGTTGGTATATTGTGGATTTTCCGGGTTATGGTTGAGCTCTAAGCACTTGGCTTTTGGCTTGCTTAAATTTCTGGCAGCTTATAAATGCAACAAATCGCAGAATGGGAGCTAATATGGAAGTCCTGTTTCTTGGAATGCTCCAACTAATTGAGTGAGGTAAGCCGATTGGAAGTTGTTAGATTGGGGAACTGAAAAATCGTTGGATCACAACTTGTTGACGAGCTTCCAAAACTTGATTAATTGGGCTTAAATGGTTTAGGCTTTTTTTACCTGTGACTTTGGAAACGCCAAGGTAGTAATTCTTTCAGCTAAGATGTAGACGCTGGGAATTCCGTCTTCAATTTACGGTCTTTCTGTTCCTCTAGTTTCCATATTTTGATATGATCGTGATGTGGAAGAAGTAAATTTGTACATTCTTAAAAGTCTTCATGCTATACTTTTCATTGCTGCTCCCAGTTCCATGGAAGGAGTAGAATGAAAATAAACAGTTAAAACGATTCTTCGAGCTAAAGGATTAGTTTTGCTAGTTAACTCTCCCATAAAAATAGCGCTCCGTTCCATCTTTTCAATCCTAATTTCTTAAAAAGTGCACCAACTTTAGGTTGAGTTCTAATTTTGGCTTGAACTTTTTTTATCTCGTAAAAAATCTATAATTTTCACTTACAGCCCCCAAATCTAACCACCATTAACTAACCGTCCAAAGTCACCAGCAGAGATTGGATGTGGCGATTCCATGTCATCAATTAATTTACATTAGCTGTTCATCACCCCAACCTCATTGTGCAACGCCTTATCCGAATCTAGTCAAACTCCACCCATGACAACTGTCTGGCCAACTCCACAGCTGTTGAGTCGAGTTCCATGGCCGTCCCCAACTCATTGTTTCCATGGCTGTCCCTGTCCAGATCACAACAATGAACTCCATGATTGTCCAACTTCACCGTTGTCAAGTCGAGCTCCATGGTCGTCCCCAACTCAATGTGTCCATGACTGTCCCTATCCAGATCTCAACAACGAACTCCATGATTGTCAAGTGGAGCTCCTAGCAGAATCAAGATACCTTCACATGGGGATATTGCCAAGAGAGAGCCCAAGTGCAAGCTCGTTAACATATCCAGTTAAACATACATTCGCTCAAAAGTTTAAATTATGAGTTATGGACCAACTAATATATATTAACTGCTCTAAACCACATTAATTCTTCGACGTAAGACTTTTCAACAATCTCCCTCTCACGTGTGAGCTCAATGTTAAGTTTGTTATGTTGAGAAAACCTCTTGATAAATTTTGAAATTGACAAAACTATCCATGTGTTTCTTATAAGTCTAATAAATGCCTTGAAGTATTTTGATTCAGGAACTTATTCTTGGAAGAGAAGAATATGGTAATCTTAATCCTACTCAAATTGTGGAATTTACTTCAAATAAAAAAGGTTCAGACTTTATACTAGAGATGAAGAACTTCAAATTTAGAGAACTACTTATGTTCCCATCCTAACACAAGTTCAGATCGTAACAATGTTCAGAACATAACACAAGTTCAAAACGTGACACAAGTTCAGAACGTATATAATGGCTAGTGATTTGGTTCGGATTTCACATTTGGAATGAATTGATTAACTCAATCTTAAAGATTGTTTTTGCAATAGTTTAATATACAAAACATTTTAAATGATTGGCAAATCAATCTCGAGAAAAGTCACTTTATAAACGGAGAAACTCTACTTATGGAAAGCAAGACTTTTGTTGTATGGGCGATCAGAATCAGCGGAGATTCAGATTTTGTCCCTCAATGGTACTCAATCTTCTTAATACAGATCCGTCCAACTGTTGACACCTAAATTTTGGCGACATGTTTAGTCATTTATTGCATAAAAAAATTAAGGGTCAATCCCGACTCTTAAACGAAAAAACATCAATCAAATTGCATTTCTCATAAGCATTAGACCCACATGCATTTTAATTGAGCGAATGTGAAACAAATTCAATGAAGGAACGCACGAGCATAATTGAAATAGCAAGAAATCATGGAGGGGAGCTCGTAATAGAGAGAGATCAAAATAGGTGAGAAACAAAAGAGTTCTTTTCTGTGGCTATTGTTCCACCACATCCCTCTCCTCAGTGATTTGTAGCAAATTCCTTTGTTCCTGTGAGCCTAGTTGCGTCGCTCTTGCTGCTAATTGCTATTATGTCGCTGTTGTTCGCTGCTGTTTGCTGCTGCATGCTGTTGTTTGTCACTTGTCGCGTTGTTTACCGTTGTTCGTCACTGTTCGCTGCTGTGTTGCTGCTGTTCGTTGCTGTTTGCTGCTGTTCGCTCGCCGCTACGTCCTTGTTGCCACTGTTCGCCGCTACCGCGCTGCCGCTCATCATCGCCTGCCGCCGATTGCCGCGTTGTTGCTGTTCGTCGTTGTTTTCTCGTTCATCACTGCTGTTTGTTGTTCGCAATTGCTGTTGCGCCACCGTTGCTGCTGTTTGCACTCGTTTGCTGCCGTTCATTGCTTTTCACTGTTGTTGCATACCTCCGGTTGCTTTCCACGATTTTGTGTCTTCGGTATCAATTTCTTGTGGTTAACTCTAACCAAGGTGAGGGTGAGGTCGGTTTTAATTCGTGGATTGTCAGTACATGATTTTAACTACATGTCATTAGTAAGTAAAACCTTAGGTTATATAGTTGTATTTTTTATTTTATTTTTGCATTAACCAAGATATATTATGGCATTTGGACCTTTAGACACTAAGGTCAAACCCTTAATATTATCTTAGTGTGACTCCTTGATCCAGTTTGTGCATGATATTTTATGAATTTTGGTTGTTGATGAATCTTGTGAATAACACACATTTTTAAAGCTCAATGAAATTTATTACTTATCGCGTATATAGGACATATTCGTAATTCATATTTTTAATTTTTTATATAGTTAGGTCAACACGTGTTAATTAGAATGTGTGTAGATTTAGGGTAATCCTTAGTTTTCATTAAACAAAAATCAATCAAATAAATTGTCATTAGGATCATGGAGCCTGCATGTAGGTGTAAAGTTGATTAGGCTCATAGCATGCATAGCATTCTTGCACGTCATCTAGTAATTAGTTCATATAAATCATTTTTTAATACATAACTCTAGAATTTATCCATGTTTTATTTCTTAAATTAGACATGATAATAATAAAAAAAATAGAAAAATTAGTATAGATTGCACGTTAATTAGTCATAATTTCATGCACATTCATGCGTGACAATCATGCATTCGGCTTGCATATTTTTCTAAAGCAATAGTTTGCAAAAATCTTGTGATTATGGATAAAGATATGCTTCGCTTGCTTAGTGCGTTTAGGTTCTTAAAATCTTCCGCAATATATTTATTGTTTAATTATTGGGTGCTACTTTCCTGAGTACGTACCTGCATGATCAGCCCATATATGTTAGTGGTATAGGGTGAAAATGGATAAAGACTGCACGTAAAATATTTTCGAAATAAAAAGAAAAGGTACCGAAAGGGCGTTAGATTAATCTAGCGTAACCAAGTCTTCGTACTCATAAATCTCTGATTCGCAGAAGTAAAATATACTCCCACATTTTACTTGGGTGTTTAATCGATAAAAGACTGATTAGTGCTGGCTCTAAAAGGTAAGATAAATTTCATGATTGAATCGAGTATCAAGTTGTGGTCGGATGGGCTTGGGAGAGTCTGCACTAAATGCGAGCAATTGTCTCATGAGAGGAACCTTTGTTCCCGTTTAGTAAATCCGTTAGCCGTCCCCTAGTGGTTCACCTCCGGGAAGGTCGCGACACCAATGGGTAGATTGGAAGACGATCCCCAAAGACTATCCAACGGTTAAACTAGAAATAGAGGAGTATAAAAGGAAACCAAAGTACCGAGGAGCAGAAGCAAGAGACAAAGTCCATAATCTACAATTC